TACTACTACTACTACTAGTAGCTACGTGAAATGTAGAGAAACCCCCTACTTTCCAATTTCCGAGCTCTGACGGGTTCTGTGCTTGAGATTTCGAGACGTTTGGGTGGCCCAACTCGACGAACCCGCAACGGCACCGTACGCCTGAAATCCCAAACGTTAAACGACGAACGGCTTATGCTGCCGCAAGTTAAACGTACTTACTTTGCAGCAAGTAGCACAGGGGAAAACCCACGCAGTACAGAAACTTAGTCCATTGGGGCGCTCGTGCTTTGCACTGCTTTGACATCCCCGCAGAAATCAGAAGATGACGAGATTCCGACCCGGCCCAGCGGAGGCAGCTTCGACAAGAATCGAACCATGGCCGAGAACTTGTCTTGGTTGAGAGTTGGGTTTTTTCGGGGTTTCAGGATTTTAGGGCTTGAGAGTTTTGAGGCCATGGGAGTTTTGGGCTTCGGGGTTGGGTGCGGGGTTAGGGCTTTGGGTGCATCAGTTGTCTGGCTGCAGGGTAGGGCTGGTTCTTTGCCCAGAGTTGCAGCTTCGCTGTACTCACTGTACTCCTTATGGGTTTTGCTTCGGCCACGTCTTTCTTCGGGTTTCTTTCTTACTTCTTTGCATGTCCTGTCCTTTGCAGCTCCCGTGCTGTTGGATCTAGTCGTGGTCCTGGTGCTGGCAGTCGAAGAACCGGGGGCTGGTGCAGGAAACTCTTCTGTCAGAGGTAAGCCTTCGCAAGTTTCGCAAGGATTCTGCCCAAGAAGTAAGCATCACATCCGAGCAGAGGACGGCCCTTCGAGCATGTGACTCTACAACCAGACCTCCGACACCTCAACCCAACCCTTCATGCAAAGCCCCCACACGCCAAATAGCCTGAACACGACCCCCTTGAACACCGTAAATATCCCAAGCCCTGCGGCTTTAAGGCCCAACAAATGTTTCTTTTTCGTCGGAGGCAAAGCGCTGAAGGCTTCCCAGCCGGCGGAGGTCTTTGGGTGGGCTTCGGAGCCCGGAGGGTGGCCGAGGGCTTACCTGAAAAAATTGCTCCGTATCGCTATGCTCAACTTTCAGGACTTTGGGTGATCAGTTGTGAATGGCTTTTACCAGTTTGTTCCTATTGAGCTTAACCCTCATTGTTGCACAAACAGTTGAGAGAAGCAGCTTTCAGAGTGGTTTGAAGGTCAAAGGCTGCTGCCAGGTACCTCAAAAGCAGAAGCTTTCTGTGCTCATAGGGATTACTTTGAGTAGACCCTGCGGCACCCGGCACAGAAGCCTTCTTAAAAGGATCTGAACTGCAGGGCCTAAAACATTCCGAAACCCATACCCAAACACCTTTAAAACCTGAACTCAAAAACTTAACAATGCCGAGCATTACGGGCTTAGCGCAGCGCCTCTAAACCCTAAGCCACCCAGCAGGTCTCCAACGGTTCTTCAGGCTCCCCCCTCGCGATCTTCGCCAAGCCCAGCAAACCCTCACAACCCAGCTACCGCTCAACAGACTTAACAGTGAGATGCAACTGGGGTTCAGGGTGGAGATTGTGGCATGTAGAATGTAGGGTTGAGGTTGCTGTCCACAGCCTGCAACAGCCACTCCTGCGCAGGACCGTCAGTCCATCTTTGTTGTTGGCCATGGGTTTACACCAGTTACACTTCAGATATTGGAACGATCAAGCGATGCTTTTTGCTCATTTAGAGCGCTTCCACTGTCAGCAAAACGAAAACACTAGATCACTGGATGTCAATGAAGAGTCAAGAGCGCTACATTGTGGAGCCTGTTGGACCAGCGGTTGCAAGCCAGGGTGGCGTGGAGAACGGTCCAAAATTGAAGAACCGAAATTTGCTGAGGATTGGAACTTCCTGATAAGTGGAATGAATCTTGGAACCTTCAACACATGCTTGCGAGTCTGGCCCCAACAGAGCCCGCAAACGAACAACCCCTTGTCACCAGCCGAGAGATCAGCAAGGAGGCGTGCCAAACTACAGGCGCTGCATCTTTTGCAGTGCCACTTGGGAGTATCATTATCATGTCAGTCAGCGTTACTTTTCTCGTGGTTACGACTATTCCTGAGGTCTTATACATACCCTTGTTTCCAACCTTTTGTTTTGTTGTCAGTGCTTTCGCCAATCCTGGTTGGTGGCGAGCTGGGATTTTAGGAAGTTAGCGGATTGTGAATTTAGGGTTTGAAAAGTTTAGGATTGACACTGTCAGTTGAAGCTGAAGGTTGGGGATGGGTCCTACACATAGATCCGCTCAGAGCTCGAACCAGCTTGGACCGGTTTATGTAGGCAGACGCCTGCCAGGCACTCGCACGAGACAACCAGGGAGCGAGAAAGCCCGGGTTCAATATATCGCGTGTCCTACTTTCCCAACGGCTTGAATGAAAAGGGATTCACTGTTCCTGTGCTAGGCTTGGGTTGCTGGAACTGCAAACCGCTTGAACAAGGCAAGCCCGAGCTCCCGCAACGCCGAAACTCTCCCAAACCAAATCCCGACATCTCTTGAGGACCACCCTGCAGCGGGACTGAAAAGAATGTTCTGCCCACTTCTCTTAGAGGCACCCCTGCTGATCACCGCAAACCCGCTAAGACCCCAGAACCACCAAAGCAACGCTCCGTTGAAACCAAGCCTTTAGAGCTCTTTCTTCTCTGCCGACTTGTCGTCCTGTCAACTCGGAAGCAAGTGACAACTTGAGGACACCACTACCATGGTGAATTTTGGATCTCTATAGGATGTTGGGCCTTTCGGTTCGCGAATGCGTGCGACGGGTTGAAGTTCAAGATTTTTCATGAAGTGTTTGGTGTTTCGGGGCTAGAGCTTGGCCTCCCGGGCGGAGGTTCGGTGTCATTCGCAGTTCGACATCGCCATCCTTATAGCCTTCAACTTAGACCAAAAACATCTCTGCAGGATCCTGGAAGGGTGTCGACACACAAAAATCGGACTCGCCGAGGGTCGGCGCGTTGGAAAACGCCTGGGCTGTGTGATAGAGTTCAGGATTGGCCTTGAGCTTGATGTTCGCCAACTTTCCGAGATTAAGTTGGTACCTGCGCTCTGAGGAACTTAGACTTACAGAGTTTTTGCTACAAGCTATTCACACGATAGGCCTACACCTAGCCAGGAGATGGCCGTCACAGCAGGGGCTCCGCGCCAGGATGTGGGTTGTGCCATCAGGCACGAGGATTCCCGTTGACAGCTCCACCTGTTGGGCTCATGGGATCCCTCGCAAGCACATGACCGAAAGCTCTAGAATCCAAAAAGAAGAAGAAGCAGCCGACATGTCACGTTGAGATCCGGTTGGTCGTGATGATTGCAGAAATATATCGGATTTGGGTTTTTCTCGCCGTAGGCTACAACTGCAAAGACATTTTACTCTCGGACTTGTCTGACGAGATTTCTGGGCTGTGCAGCTTAGTGTTCTACTGCATCTGTGGGGCCAGGTCGGCTGCGTTCATGCTCATCCTTACCCCAAGTCTGGATACTCAGCAAGCCGCCTATTGCACAAGGTGCAGTCATGCATAGCCATAGCATTGCAGGACAGTCAGTGCGAGTGCGCCCTGCAGATGCAGATGCGTGTACGGCTGCTATGATGTCCAAGAAAAATCTGCAAATCAAGAGCCAAACGTGTCAAACGAGCGGACTCGTGCTGCCAGTTAAGGTGCTCAGCCCATTAATCTCAATTCCCCGCCCACCCCAAACGCCGAATCCGAAGTCGTCGTCACTCCTTAACGAGGGAACCAGCAGCACCCCTCCGCATGCCTCGAGGGACTCGTCCTTCCGGACGTCCTGGCAAGGCGGCTGTTGGAACAATTATTCCTCAACGCTAAACAACTCAACTAGCCATAAACTCCAAAACACAGGGCCTTGAGGTAACCGTTCTTGGCCTGAGCGTCTTGCTCCTTCTCACCACAGGCATGCTTGCCCCAAAACAGCCTGAGGCGTTGGGGTCGACGTTTCAGGACGGAAGTTCTGGAGTAGTGCCAAGTTATGGATTTAAGACGAGGATTTAACGCTTGCGATGAAGAGGACTTGTGCTGGAGGGCCTGCGCCTAACACGGCAGGCCGAGCAATCCGTGACCCTGCTTCTGCCGGCAATATCAAATCAAGGAGAGCAGTATTTTTCGTGCTCCACCTGAATCGGGCTTCTATGTTGAACCCCTGACATGAACCCGAGGAACGGCAGCATGATTGGGAATTGCTGGGCTTTGCAGATGCGCTGGGACCAGGCTCGAACACCGAGGAAGGGGTTCCAACCACACAGGCATTGAACTGTGTCGCTGGTCGTCAAGCCCGGCAATTTAAACTGAACCAGGACGTGCCTGTACTTGTCAATCTTCTCCTCGTTTTTTGCAGGCGTGATGGTCACTTTGGCCTGTCAGCCAAGTGGTGTTTGAGAAACGTTGGCTGTTTCTGCTCATGCTTCAGCTTAGGAGTTTAGGGCTTGGGTCGAAGAGTCGTGGATTTACGATTTCACAGGCGTAGTCTTCTTGAACTGGGAGCGACATCTGCGTGGCTGCGAGCATGACGATTGGTTCCTGGTTTTATCATCGTCATACTGCAAAAACATGTCTGGACCGGCCTTTACGTTCTTCGGCTCTGGATTTTCGTCTGCTGTTGATACAACCTGCGACAGGCGCAGGCGCCAAGGCTTGACAGGGTCTCGTTCTTAGTTCATGATTGCTGTTATGGAGTCGGCAGAGCTGCTCGCATACACGAAGAGTAGCGCACGCATGTGTGTAGTCGAGGCAACACCCACCAGTGTCGACGATGAGAAAAAGAAAACGACTTACGGTGACCCGTGACTAGAACGAATCACAACCACGTCAACTGCTCCGCACGCACCACAAACCCCCCACACGCAACAAGAAGAAGAAAGAGAACTACAAGCAGGAAAAGAAGCAGCAGGAAAGCAACATGCCGGTTGCATCCCTGCCTTCTGCGGACAGGAATCTTCCTCCTTGGACACGCAAGGCTTCGTCCGATCCACGACCTGAAAGAAGCTGCATTCATGCGCTTCCTGGGCTTAGGGTTCAGGAAGTTGAAGGGCTCAGTGTAGAGGATTCATGGGTCAAGGGGTGGGATGTCCGGATTCGCGGTTCGGCAAACTCCACAGCTTGAAACCCTTCACGACCTGTACGAATACGCACAACCCTCAGGCGCCATTCTCTGATGATGGTTCGGGTCTAAGAACTTTGGGCGTTAAGGCTCCCATGAAGTCTAGGACAACACAGAACCATGCATCCCAGCATCTGAACCAAAGTTATCCCAAATCCCGAAGCTGAAAAACATCGATCCTAAATCTCGGGATGTCAAACCCCCTCGCGACGTCGCCTGCACATTGACGGGTGACGGGTGCTCTCCGAACTCGTTCCTTTGCATCTGCGAGGCTTCTTGTGTTGTGGAAGTGCTGAGAAAACATCGTCAAAACCTGAAGCGTCTGGGACCGCGAAGTACAAGCAGGAGGGTTGGAGATGTGCTACCCCNNCCCCCCCCCCCCCCCCCCCCAGATCGAAACATGCGGACCCTGACTACCACGCACAAGCCAATGGCAGACTTGCACCTGTTTGCAAGTGGCCTAGATGAGGGGGACAATACCTTTGGAGTTTTTGGCGAAGTGTCCTCCAACCGCTGCGCTGCTACACAAACTGTTGAAAAGAGAAACTGCTCTCGTCCAACGAGGAACCTCTTATCCTCGGCTCTCCATGCCAAAAAACGCACATCGGATGCTGCCACGATGTTGTGGGTGTACACTTTCACGTTCAACAGATTACAAAAGAAAGTAGCAAGAAGCAAAATCATCCAGACAATAGCAGTTGAATAGATAAAACTGTTCTGGCAATGGTCAGAAACTTGACCAAAGAGTATCTATGCTAACAGCCACACACAATAACATCTGGCAAAGACTGGCAATAGCACGGCGAACCACATTCAGTAATCTTAAGACTTCTGGCCAGGCTGCTTCGAGAAGGCCAGGATGTGGGTCGCACCCTCCGGAGGCCTCGGGAAAACTTGGCAGCTTCGGGTGTCGNNGTCGCGCTTCGAAGTCGAGGACCCAAGGATACCCTTGGGCCTTGTTGGGCCTTGCTGGGCCTTAGGCTCCTCTGAGGTTTCTTCGGGCTCGATGACTTGTCGGTGCCAACAATCTTGCCAGGGCAGAGACACGACCAACCACAGCTCTATATTCAGAACAAGACAATTGCACAAGTACAAGGACCGCAACTTTGTTTTCGCAGACACAGACATACAGGCATGCAACATACGCACGTACATACGACCATCCATCCATCAATCCATCCATTC